AAAGGACATAAAAGGAATGTATATTTGTCAAGCTACCAACGATAGGTTACTGGTCTACCCACTGCTGCCAACTTGACACATCAAAATAAAATAAAGACATAAAAAAAAGACAGACAGTTCACAACAAAAGACTTGTCAGTCCGGACAGGTCGAGGTGACTGACCGCAGGTCACCACACCTGAAGACTGAACCTTCCGTCAGGTATAAAAGTCACGCCAGGTACAATGTGGGAACGCTGACAGGCGGCCCTGCCCTGCACGCACAAGGTGGCGCGGGGTCGATACCTAACCAAGGAAACTCACGCCAAGATGACTCACGCAATCCATACATACACGCAGCAATTGCTGCCCGGATTCCTCCTGAATAGGTGCCCACGCCTGTAGAAGCACACGCCCACGTAATAAAGGAAGATACCGACGTCGCACATACTGTACAGCTGTTGGCGGTGATAAAAAGTTGCATGAAAAGCCAGCCCACGCGCGCCATAATCATTTCTTTTGAAGCGGAGCCGTCATTTGGTACTTTTAAGTTTTATTGGTATCGATAATAAAGGGGAAAGTTGCTACTACTAGAACTAGTACTAGTCCTGGGCAACACCGTCACTACAATGAAAATGCTACGTTCGGTACCTTTTGAGAGAAACCACCCTCCGGTCCAAAAGAGTATCTACTAGTATTACGAACTTTTATCATTGTTGACAGTTTCGGCCAGAGTATTTATTTGTGTTTACGAAATCTAGAAAACAGACGTACATACTCCACCTTGGGACCTACTCTGTTTTAAGACATACAGGGAGCCTCACTGATAAGAAAGAGTGCATTATCTCCAAGCTTTGCAATCGGGCGGAAGCTTAGCCAAACACAAGCCACGCCGAACAAATTTGTAAACAGTAGTATTTATAGATACCATATCAAGAACCTGACAACCATTTACCAATAATCAAAAGCTATAAAATAGGTTACTTTCTTTACTGATACTGTTGGACTTTGTATCTTACTATTCTCAGTTCTAAATTTGAAACGGAATCGCCCACGTTGTATAGTTGTGAAGTTATAAAAAGAAGGTAACGTTCACTGGAGATTTAGGACACACGGTACAGGATCGTTATCTTGCACTGGCAATGGATGACGTCGAACATCTCGCGTGACTTCAGTGAAGTTCGATCGATGTCCTGAGGTCGCGTAAAGATCTCCTCCAAGCAGATGTTTGGGGGAATCTAAGTTTTCCCAACCCCTAGCTGGCCGTAACTGTGAGCCCGTTTCTAAGGGGCAGCTTGGAAAACGTATCGATTTAGGGCCTCCCTCAACATCTGCTTGGAGCTAAATGCCTTACGTGACCTCAGGACATCGCACTTTGCTGAAGTCACGGAAGACAAGCACATGACATGGCCAGGAGAGATCTAGAATATTAAAGCAGAGAAACACGTGAACAGCCGACAGGATGTTAGCCTGGGTGCCATCCGATTTGTAACAGGACTCCTTGCACTAGCTGGCCAGGGTGTGCAAGGAGTCCATTGCAACTTGGACGAGCGTTTTATAAATAATAGCCTCTACAAGGCCTCAGAAGCGGCTGGAAAGAGTAAAAAAGGAGTGGCAGATTGTAGCCTACCTATAGCGGACCAATTCCCCTGGCATGTTATCTGTCTATTTGGCCAATTTGTACTGTTTTCATCCGCCTCTAATGCCAGGTAGAGGCTAGTAAAGCGTGTGGAACGTTAAGAAGACAAGCGCCCTCTGGGACAGATTTACCTGGTTACCTGTAACACGCCAACGGGTAGTTCTGAAAACACAAGGGGCCTGTAACATGGAATGCTACATTACACAGAGGCAAATAATGTAGTCCCGAAATTAGCCTTACTAACTTATTGATTATAAGTTACTGTACTAGTATATATTTCATCAGTTGGTTCAATAATTAAATGCTACACTGAACATACTGTGTCAATGGGGTATGAAATGCTACATTACATAGAGGCCACACAGCGACCCTTTTTATCGATATCAAAGTACAGGTTTGATCAGCAACCCAGTGTGGAACCATTCAGACCTACATTGCACAGTTCCAGGCAAATAATCTAGTCTACAACTAAACCCCTTTTTAATATTGATAGGAGGTAAAAGGAATTACAATCAGCCCAGAGTTGAAACATTGCACAGTCCCCAAATTAACCCTTTTTATTGATAGATCTAATAAATATATAATTCATTAACAGTAAGTAAAAATGGAATAAAATGCAGTCCAGTGTTTGTCTTCCTGAAAATAAAAATCATTGTTCTGCCATGCCTTCTATCTTATTCAATACAGACAAGAGCAAAACAGAACTGTTCTGTAGGGCAAATACACATGCCACAGAGGCATAGACGTTTGTCATCAGCAAAATGAGTCTGCAAAACAGAAAGCAAAATCACAACACGTATCAGTCAGGCAACCAGTTTATTACAAAGGATCTGATTGCATGTTGTCTTCAGAAGACAATTCAATTTTCAATACAATTAGCAATTCTCACAAGTTCATTTATACCACCAATCATCATCATCTCTGTTCAGTCAGAACCTTGTCTTCATTACAATATTCCAGTTTCTGTAGCGTAAATTTCTTTCCTAAAAAAACTCAAATAAGACCATTCTATTCTTTGGGACACAGGACCTACAAAAATGTACATGTAGGTCTCTTGACATCATTTTGTTCAGGTGTGGCCTTGGCACACAAAACTAGCCACAACGGCTATTAAATAGGTCAGGTGAAAAGAAACTATGTATAACAGTTCCTGTGAGTACGGTATTTAAATGGTTGTCAAATATTTAACCTATCATGCCTGAAAATGCCTCATTTAGTTATTGTATCAGTTCTATGGTACACAGAAGTTTCCTTGTCCGATAGCTTAACTACATACAGCAAGTAAAACCATATTTTACTGCGTCCTTGAAAGGAACTTTCAAAATAAATTGTTCACTCACAACATTGCAACCCAAGACAAACAGCGTGGCAGCCCTTTTTGTGAATCGCAGTTGAAGAGTTCAGCAAAGTTTTCGCGACAAATGATACAGAACAATCTGCACAAAGGAGAACAGTTACAAAGTATGGCAATAAAACACACAAAGCTGGTTGTTTGATCAGCGTACAAAACCCTGGAATTTCAATATCAACTTCACATGACCCTGAATAACCCTCTCTGACCATCTGGACCTGGTATGGATTTTTCACAAGGTTTAAAGAAATGGTTATTGCCAACAATTCTGTGCCGGGCCGATCATACAAGCGGTGTGACAAAATAAATAGCTGTAATAATAGCAATAAGTGCCAATAAAACGTCCAGTGGCTGGTAATGGAGCTATCTGCACATGATGGCCACTTGTGTGGATGGAGCAAAATTACAGCCTATTAACCCGATATTTGGACAAGGCTGCGGCACAGTAGCCTCTGATACAAGAGCAGGCTCTAGAATCGCAGCCCCCAAGAAACCGAGTACAAGCCCAATGTGTAGAGGCTAGAGGCACAGCACATGTTAGTCTGGATGCCAGACTGTTCTTAGGGCTAATACACAGGTCAGCCCCAGAGTTGAACTGAGGGGTCTATGGTAAAATTTCCTTTGGGACATGTTGGCCTTGGAGCCGAGGAGCTAGCCTATATACTTGCTGTCAACAGTCTGGCACCCAGGCTAAACACATACCATATTCTAAGGTGATCGACAATATAAAGAAAACAAAAATGAACAGCAGAAAGTGGACATTTTCTGGTCTGCCACACAATATGTAGGTAATATATCTCTTATTCTTTGGTGCGATGCTCTTTTTTGTCTTCCTTACAAAAGTATCAACATGGATAATTGGTGAAATGCTTTCCCCCTGGGCAGGCTAGGTGGGTGGCAAGGAGGACCGTCTTCATCCATTGTCGTGGTTGTCAGGCAGATGCACCTCCATCCACCTGTTGGTTTCAGCTGGGCGCTACCACTGCTCGGTCAGGGGGTGTCCTCCAATTCACACTCTTTCTTCTCTTGTAAATCCACCCTCTCCCACTGGAGGTTACAATTATACTAACAAAGAACAAGTCTGACAAGAAGGAAGACTTCTTCGTGTACAGTACAAAAACAGACAAAACTGAAAATGCTTCAATGTTTGCATTTTTTTCTTACTGGTAAAAACATGAATCATTCAATGTGACCCAAGTTTGTCTGCTGCGCTGTTCACCCTGCCCTGTCATGCATTTTGTCAAACTGGTGATTGCACTGTTGTTATGTGGTACTAGTATCTTTACGTGAGCTACTGCATTAAGCTCGATAATCTGAACTTGAATCCATTGGAAAGGAAATAAACATGTAATGTAATTTGCAGAGCTGAACCATATTTAATGTTGCAGCATGGTTGCAGCATGTTAACTGACTGCGTTTAGAATACGCCAATATCAATTTGCAATTTCATAAGTCCACAGCAAGTCCCAACGATATCCCACAATTCTCTGAGGCAGCAGGTTTGTGTCCTTCAGTCAAGGTCACAACGGTTGACCTTGAAGACATAAGAAGGTGATAGTGCCTGCCCCACCCTCCCTCAAGAGACCTGCCCAATAAATATGATGCCTGAAAATTATACAATGTGTATAAATTACGTTCAGTTTCCATTTTCTTATATCTGCACATGGTGTCTGTGAATGTATGCTCTTTCCGTCTTAAAAAATCACAGTTTTTTTCAACATACTGTGACAGTTTTCTTCACAGTACCAGTGAGTGTCATCTTCAAGGCAAGCAATGCAGAATTGTTTCATCAAGAAGGTCTATTTTGAAGCACTGCTGCATGGTTTAGTGTATCCTCAATCCAAGTAGGAAAAGTTCAACTTGTGACACATGCCTCTGTAATCGTGGCTAAAAGTGGTGGCATCCACTTCTGTACTGCACCAGTGCTTTATGATGAATTTTAAGGAAAGTTTCTTTGCATTGGCTGCATCAACATTGAACCGAACATCAGAAAAAGGAGACCAGGCCTGCCTTGCAGTAAAAGCTCCCTTCCCTGTGTGGGACCTGGAGATCTTGGGTCATCCGAGGTCATTGGCTAGGACTTGGCCCTTTGTTTCGGACAGTTTGGCTGAAGGGGCCACCCTGCCCCACCCCCTGGGAGAAGAGGGACGATCCGGGCTGTGTGGAGTGGGATGATGCCATTCTGCTGGGCGGGGGTGTGAAAACAGGTGGTCTCAGCAAGGGAGGGGTTCCAGGCGACGCTCCTGATGTCGTCCCACCTGCAGAAATGAGAAAGGACAGAGATTAAGAATTAGAGCACCAATACAAACTTGGGAACAAGTGTAGAATATCTACCTCCTCTTGTTTTTGTTATGCTGCATATACATATATTTGCCATCAAGCCTCAGCATCAGTGTGCAAGCACATTTAACCTTCGGGACCTGGAGAACAACTGACGTTAAACCAGATAGTGAGTGACATGCACTGTACAACAAAAGAGAAGGTGCTGTTTTTGAAAGGGCAGTTTTTTTGTTTACTTTGGTTATATTGGAAAGCTGTAAATCTGGGTTTTATTTCGAAGGGAATATGTGAGACTCTGCTCTTCACTGTAAAAGTCTAAAGCCTGTCCTTTAAAATAACACATGTCCATACATTACAGAAATGAGCCAGAATGGACTGTAATTAGGTGTGGCGTGCAGGTATGCCGGTATAAAGGAAATGAAACACAAGATTCAGCTTATCAAAACATGAACACACAAGCGCAGCAGAATTCATCCATCCACACGACTGAACAGCAGACAAAAATTTTCTCCTGCATTTCCGAGCAAGCAGCTTGCAAAATATTGCGCTCCTACACCCCCCCCCGAGCGACCTCTCATGGTTCAGCCGGGCTTCTCGTAAACCTGGAAGTTTCTGGGTCACTTCTCGTGAAGTGAGAAAGGCCACGGGTTCAACAATGGGCGACATAAAATATTCATAACCGCGTAATCTGGAGAAGATCAGGGAAAGATTCTGGCTAAAACAGCACACTAGAGGAAGCCATTATTATACTAGTAACATGTGCTGGGAAACAGTCAAACGTTAATCTTCAAGTAGATCTATTTGGTGGCTGCAAAACAGTGTCAAATTGGCAGGGTAGCATCCATTAGCCATCCATTTGTCTGGCGTAAAAAAGACGCCGGTGCAAGAAAAGAAAGCCTGATAAAAACGTGTCAAAAATAAGCCGCAGCCTAAACCTCTGCTTGGAGAGTAGTCAAATATGACCTTATATAATGATCTAAGCTGCTTTACAGGTTGCACATGATTATGGAATTATATTTGATATAGACATTTTCTTTATTAAGGTTAGACAGGTTCACTTCAAGGTCATGGCTTAATGGGGGAAATCGTCTATACAAGAGTATAATGAAAAGGCCTTGTAGTGTACTTAAGGAGGTGTATTAATAGTTCCAGAGCAATGTAGTGAGTCTGAGTGACTAAGCGGATGATAACTCTGCAGCATTTGCATGGTAACTTGGATATTCATAATATGTATATATACATACATGTATATGGGGTGACCAAGGTGTGTCATATACTTGACCAATGACAATTTGATATCCAATACTCATGACCATATGACCATAAAAATTGGGGTGCTCATCTCCACGTATCATTACGGTATTATAGTATACAAGATTCTCAAAAAACAAATTGAGGAACAGTTGACAGCTCTTACTTGCTGTACATACATGTTGTATTATGTCTATGGAAGGGTGAGTGAGATGTCCAATGTCTTCTGTGAGATGTCCGCACGTACCATGACTAAAATGTATATTCTTCGATGAAATAGCCCGAATACATTAAGCAACTTATGTGACTTCCTCTTTTCTATTCATGCCTGAGAACTTGTAGGACTCTATCTACAGTGCATTTAAGTGAGTTACAGATGAACATCATGTGAATTGCTTCAAACCTCCTTAAAAATACATGATAAAAGTACCTTTAGTTACTGTCCTTACATAATTAAGCAAACCAAACTTGGCGACCCAAGACATTGTCCTCGGGTGACTCTTCACTAAAGGTTGTACCCTTCAACAGAGCCACGACACTGTCCTTAGGTGACTTTCCTTTTCAGAGAAGCTTGTAACTTTCAAGACACATATATATTATGTATACGATGGTACTACATAATGTATGGTCATGTCTGACAAATCTGAGACTTGAGAGATGAGGGTGGGTAAGATGAGATGGATGAGTCTGGCTCAGGTAATACAACAACACCTTTAGAAAGTCATGCATGCTATAGTTCAATCGTGGTTCAAGTTTGTTCAGCTCACAGCATCAATATACTCTTCCTATAACCTGCCATAAGACCATTAAAAGTATAGGGAACAGCAGTTTTCATACTTGGGCTATTGCTTTTTTGGCCTTGTTTTCTTAATTATGTCTCAATGCCATTATGTCTCTACTGTTAATGCATGCTGAAAAAGACTTCAAGAATCACCAACACAATGTTTCTTGGAAACATGACTACTCCAGCCATGGGTTACTAATGGTCTGACTGTTTGTCAATACCATTTTTATTCCTCACATCAAAGAAACCATGTTTCTTGATGCAGATATTTGTGTAACATACTGTGAGCACAAAGAAAAAATACTTTTATTTCCATAAAAATAACTTGTTGTCATAAAAAGTGATGCAATATATACATTATAGCACCACGCAAGCTCACTCTATGATAACATTGAGTCTGTCCTTTTTGATCTGCCCTGCAACACAAAAGTTTGCTTGCTTATCCCCCCGGATGTGGCAAACGTTTAGTGACCCACTTTATGAGTTGTCAGGTGTGAGTAATGATGGCATCGTGTCAACCTGAGAGGGAAGCAATGTTTAGTAACTACATTAATCCTGCGCTGCTGTTTTCACAAAGGTCAAGGCAATTTGTCACTGTTCTTTTAACCCAAAGTTTTTTAAATGTTATTTGTTCCTGTACAGATGTAATTCACACTTACACTAATATGAAAGTGAGCTACATTTTTACACCCACCCAGTAAAATAATAGCAGCCAAAATGTGCCAAAATCCAACATGTCTATAAAACTTGACATGAATGGTTGTTTTATTTGAGCCACATGATTAGAATAGAGCTACAGCATTCATGACAGTTTATGTCATAAGATTTCCTTTTTATGAGGAAGTCCATATAGAGACTCTACACTGTTGTTACCAGTAATCTCTTCTTTACAACAAGTTAAAGCAAGTAACTCCCACGGACATCAACTTGTTTTTACAATGCTCTAGTCAGGTATGTGCATTGTCTCTGTCAAAAGGCATTGTCTAGATGACCTAAACATCCCTCACCATCTATATCACACCTATCATTACAGACGTTGTGCTTCTAACAACAACAAAAATTAAGAGGTTATAGAAATCAAAACATTCCATCACAGCTATCTTGCAGTTACAAAGACACCTACTCAACCAACTACTGTGGGAAAGTTCTCAAGCTATTGTAGTTCTTTCATGGGCAAGTAACCCAAACAATTGGGGACTTTTACCCGATTCATTGTTCACTTGTCCTTCAGAGGACGCGTTGGGAATTGTTCTCTCTCTCACAGAACTGGAGCTTGTACAACCCCAACTCAGTGTTGTTATTATAATGACTGAACTCAAAGCCTCTTGCTCAAGGTTTCCTGCATCCAGTCTTCCCTTGTAAACAAGTGATGTACAAGTGATGCTCTTCTCCACGAGAACTTGACGTCTAGAGGACTTTTTTTTAACCTCTCTCACCTGGCTGAGGGATACACCTGGTGAAACACTGAAGGAAGACGCGAGCAGCCGATCTCCAGTCATCTTCAGTCAACGACCCCACAAGTGGAGGAACAACCGGGACAACAATGCGTAACCTTGGCAACAGGAGGATCAGATTGAGCCATCATGTGATCTCTTTTCTCTCCGGAGCTTACCGGAAGTGCAGTGGGACGGTTTAAGTGTGTGGTCTGTGTAAGGGGGAGGGCTGCCAACCACAAATGCAATAGTTAAACAAATCTCTGCTTTCTGTAGGGCCACAATAGGGATGGAGTGAGGGAGCTTTGTACTGTTTTGGTTTCTGCTTGAAGTCGTGCATGGTTAAGTACCTGCACAATGGTTTCAGTTCCAGCATAGACTACACTTTGGCGACTTAGGAGGATTATAAAAAAATGTTCAATAAACTAAGATGTCGATTGACTGACATAGTATCTTCGCAAAGAATGTTAGGAAATTTTTAACACGTGGCTAGATGACTTTGATGTCTCATTGTTCCGCATATTTCTACCAAATGCATGGTATATCAGTATTACACAGTATAGCTAGAATTTTGTGGGAAGTATTCCTGATGTATCCAGCAAGAATGCCATGCACAGCTGGAGTGCCTGTCATCCATCCAGCAGGCTCCTGTGCTGTTTGTATTATCTCCAAGCAGATCATACGGTGGCAAGGCAGTATCCATTGGCCAGAGGAGTGTCCATTAGCCACCGAAGATCTGCCTGCAGTCGAAACGTCAAAGGCTATTAACACCTAGTTGTTGCCTACTCAGAATGTGTTTGCCAAGTAGTTTATTGCCCTAACCACCGGGCAAGGCTATTGTCCTCCTTGTGGGGCTGCATGGTTGGCCGTTACAGGAAGTCTGTCTATGGGTCACAACACCAACTGTTATACATGTATTGGGCAGTTTAAACAATGGATCCGGAGGAGAAGGTTCACCTTGTGTTTTGTAATGTCTGGCATGGGGTTTTAAATTTTAACCATAAGTATCCATTTCCATGTTTCAGAAAGCATCACAGTGCCAGCATACAGAATTGTATCTGATTCAGTTAGGGGGGGAACTCCCACTGAGATGTGCGCGGGTGACTGAATTTGTCCCAGATTCAAGCTATAAACCGCTTGTAAAAACCTTAGCGTGGCCAGTTTTTCAATTGTTGTTAATAGGGGCACAAGGAGGGGCAGAAACACCATTTTTGAAAGGAAGTGCTCCTCCCTGTGCGAGTGCAGGCAGATCTTCGGTGGCTAATGGACACTCCTCTGGCCAATGGATACTGCCTTGCCACCGTATGATCTGCTTGGAGATTACTGTTTGTACACCACATACATGACTCTGTAGTAGACCAATGAATAAATTTCACATACAAAAACACACAAATTGGGGTCAAAGCATTGTTTACTGAAAAGAAAGGGGCCCGGCACAGGAAATTAGAGTCTGTACACTTGGTAAACAATTTCAGAGAAGAGGTCAAGAAAATGTCCGGCAACATTTCAG